CCCGCCATGCCTCTCTGCGTTTCATTGTTAGAAGAGGCCACTTTTTTTTAAAAAATTTTTTGATAGCTAGACCCTATGTAGTAAAGGAGCTGAGGTGTGAAGAAAAGTTGAGCCTGCATAATTGCTTGTCACTTGTTTTTGTTTCCAGGTGGAAACAAAATTCCAGCAGATCTAGGGCACTGTTCCTGGCAGAGGTAGGGACCCTATGTGCAGTGCTGGGACTCGAACCCAGGCTGTGAAGAATGGCTCGGTCCATCAAGCTAGCTCACTGGCCCCCCACAACTATTAATTTTAACATACAAAGAAGAGGGGGCCTTTCCTAAGAGTTTTGCTTGGGGAGTAAGGCAAAGACTAGAGGTTCTAGCATAAGATCTGCTCTCTTTTTCCCTCTTGATTATAAAAAAAGCCAGGTTCATTTGGTGGGTTGCCATGTGCCATCTAATAGGTGCTTTCCTGGACACTGAGCTATGAGGAGAGTGTATGTGAAAATTTTAGACATGTTCTTAAACTCAGATGAGCAGGTTGCTCTTAGGTTGTCCCTTAGCCCCTCTCACTGTCCTGCTGTCTGGAATGCAGATGTGATGACTGACTTGTTGCAGCCCCCTTGGATCACGAGGGATGGAAATCAGTGAGTCCTGGAGAAAGTGCAAGTGATCTAGGGTTCTACCTAACATCATTTCACCTTTGTTGCCCAGGGCTGAGTTCCTAGACACCTTTTATAGGAGCAAATAAACCCTTGCTTGTTATTGCATAATATGTAATTTAGTCTTAACTGGTGGATCCTAGTTAAGGACCTGGACTATCTGGCTAGTGAGGGGCACTTGATCCCTAGTGGCTAAATTTGTCTCTTACACACATACACCTGACCTCACAGCCTACACTATAGTGTGATGAAGGACAGAGCGTATTCCTGTCAAAGTTCAGGAATAGAGACTTTTTAGCAAGTACTAAATAAATGCCTAAATTTAGTTCTTTGTTGAACAAATAATCAATCGTGCATTACATGATGGCAAGGGATGGTGTACCGACAATAGACCTAATAGGCTCGATTTTACAGCCCAGAGTCAAATAAGTGATACTGGAGCCACTTAAGTTTTTTTCTCTTGTGGCCCAGAGTGAGTAGGGCATTTGTCTTACACTCAGATGACCTAGGTTCAATCCCAGTACCATATATGATTCCCTGAGCACTTCCAGGAGATAAAAATATTTTTTGGCCCACTCAAGACCCATTTTTTTGTTGTTGTTTCATTTGGGGGCCACCCCTCGCAATGTTCAGCAGTTACTCCTGGCTCTATACTAAGAAATTATTCCTGATGGTGCTCAGGGAAACTTATGGGATGCTGAGGATTGAACTGGGATCAGCCTCATGCAAGGCAAGCACCCTACCACTGTACTATCTCTCCAGCCCCTTATGACCTGGTTTTGCCTGAAAGATTCTTATGAGACTACCTGGTATAGAGGAACAGATAATAGGTATACAAATCAATAAAATACAATATCATAAATCATAAATTTATCTTAATTTTTTTAATTTGGGAGCCACATGTGGCAGTGCTCAGTCAACCATATATGATGCCAAGGATGAAACCTGGTCTGGCTACATGCAAGACAATTGCCCTACCTGCTGTCTGATCTCTCCAGCCCCAACTAATTTTAATTGTTTTTTGTGACCCCCACATGTCACAATTCATGACCACCCCATAGGATCACAATCTAATTTATGGAGCCAGGGAATTACAGTGCAGGCTTGTGAAATATCCTCTTTCACAGTCATACAATGACTAATGATGGGTTTTTTTTTTTTTTTGGTGATGCTAGACATTGAACCCACAGCCTCTGGGGGATGTACCCTACAACTGAGCTGCATCCCCAGCCCTCTTGTGTTGCCTTTTAGGCTTCTCCCCACCATTAAGCAACTAAGTCTTATCTCTGTGGCATCTACCAGGTACCAGGAACTGAGTCCAAGATATATCCTCTCTCCCTCATTGGAAACTTACAAGCTGTGGGAGAACAAAGATGGGTACAGTAAGAGTTACCATAGAGACTTTCCCTAACCTAACCTTGAAGACAGCTTCCTGTCTTCAGGAAAAGCTAAGGCCAGGACAAAACTGCGGCGCCAGTCAGGAGCAGCGTAAAGGTAGTTTTCCACGGCTGATAGGCAATGACTTAATGAGCTGCAGTTTTCTTTCCAGAGCATGACCCAGCAGCTGATTCTTGCTAAGCTTGCAGTGATATTGCCCTGATCAATATTAACAGCCACACCACTGCTGTATCCACAGTTTAGAAGGTCATTTCTTCCCTTTCTTTTTCTTTACCATCATCTTTCTTTACTTCCTCCTTGGGCTTACAGCCAGTGAAGGAAAAGATATGTGGATGGGAAAGCCTGATTCTGTACCAAGCACAGACTTGGGAGTTCCTACCAGGACTGTACCAAGATTAGTTCATGCTTGGTCTGTGCTCTTAGACCTCAGCCTTGGAAGACAGGTTGTACATGCTGGAGAGGTAAAGGATATTGGGGGGAGGGGGGAGGAATGGACAACTCTGTCCCAGTGAGCAGTCTAGGAATCCCATTTGACTCTTACTCCCAGACCTGATACTATCAAGGAAACCCTAGGTCTTCTGCTGCTTTCCTGCTCAATAGAAGTTCAAAGTTTCTATTTACCTTCAAGATAAAACAGGATGGGTGGGAAGTAGCTGGAACCAACTCAAATCAATTTAGTTAAACGCATGTCAAGTTATTGGACAGGTAGTGGGTTAATTTGTTCCTCAACCCTCCCCCTAAAAAAAAACCCAAAAAAAACAAAACAACAACAACAAAAAAACAAAAACCCTTGAACCTGGAGAAGAAGCCAAAATATCAGAGATAGAAGGTGTGAGCACTGTTTTTTCACATCTGTCTTGGGTCCCTCCAGTTTTCTTATTCTGTGATGGAGATTATAGGCTTTTTCTCTTCACAGGATTGAAAAATAAAGAAAAGGTCTTGTCTTAGCTCCTGGGTTTTCACACATGCAATTGATTAGCCCAGACAGATTCTTTTGGTATCACTGCTCAAAAGCCTGTTTTGTGTGAAAACCATGGTGAGGAAGGGGGTGTTGGGGTGCAGGGGAAAGACTGAGCTACAGAGCTGGTGTCTGCAGTGTCTGGGCATGAGAGTGGAGTGAGCCTTGCTGGCGAGGGCGGGTGGGAGAGATAGTACAGGTGCCCAAGCACTTGCTGTGCTGACCTTGGTTCAACCCCCAATGTTGCTAATTGTGGTATAAGCACCATCAGGAGTGATCTCTGAGCAAGCATAGAGCGCCACTGAATGTGGCCTAACACCTCTCCTTCCTGGGGGGGTGGAGGGGGAGAAAAAAATAGTGAGACTCCTGTGATTGTTGTAGGCATTGACCTACCCTGGATGTGGTTGGCAGGAGGCAGGAGCAGACCCTAACTTTGGAGCCAGGAGGATGCCATCCTTCATTTCGCAAGCACATAGAAAGCACGCCCCAGACACCATGCCCTGCAGGATTCATAGCACAGGCAGGCCTCGGCTTAATACCCTTTCTGGTCCTCTGATCCTGGTGAACTTTTCTTTCACCTGAATCTTCATGTATTTACTAGCCAATTCATCAGAGAGTGACTGAGAAGAATTTTATGATACATCATGTCCTTCTTTGGGTACAGTTGCTGTTGCAGAAATATTTATTGACTTTTGTAGAACATAGCTGTTACATTTCTGTTACTTTGGGAGGGGTAGGCAGAGACAAGATGGGATCTTGACTATGTATTATTAGGAGCCTTGGATTCTTATTAGAGATGATCTGATCTGAAAACTCTTTCTCACCTGAGAATAGCCTTGCCTTCACCTGACTTGTTTTGTGTGAAATGCTCTTCTACTTTCTGTTTGAAGGCGGAGTTGGGGCACCTTCGCAGCAGCTTTGAACACAGTGGGGTGGAACTGGGGAGATGACTGACTTGGTTCGACACTGTGTACACCTTCCTAGCCACCTACCTCATGGGAAAGCAGGCAGCAGCCAGGGAGCGTTCCTTCCCTCTGCCTCCCCCACCTGGCCTCTGGTGCCAGGGTTCCCAAGCACTTTCAGCCTCCACATCCCCCTTCTCTTCACCCCTCATCCTATTAGCCATCCCAACCCTTATATCCCTTTAGGTGGCATTCCCACTTCTCCTGCTCCCACAGCATCCTGCTTCTCTTGTTCCCAGCTCTCCCAGGCCCAACCCTCAGAGCAACTCCAGTGCTCTGAGAGATGTCTTCCAAGCCTCATTCCCTCAGATTCTCCCTGTGAGGCCTCCTAGGCGGGTCCATTGGTGTTGGAGAAGCATCCCACCCACACCTCTCATGTCCCATTATCCACCTTCAGCTGTCAGAGTCACAGTGACAATCTCTCCCAATGGAGAAAGCAGGAGAAATTTCAAAAAGAGAGAAGAGAACATCATTTCAAAAGGACATTAAGCTCTATTCAGGGACACAATCTCTAATCAGCAAAATGAAAGGCATGGTGGCCCCACAGGGACTGACTGAAAGACAGCCTGGTGGTGAGAGTGTTCTGGAAGTAGCTTCTCACACGGGGCCTCCCCGCCCTGCCTGCTGGCCCCAAACAGCCCTTCCTGGCAACCAGCCCCACCCTGGGGGATTGGGTCTGGACCCCACCCTGAGTTACAGGGCTTTAGGTCTTCCTGCAAGTGGAGCTTCCTCCCTGACACGGTTTCCAAAGGCTCCCTCACGGGGCTAACAGCAGAACAGAGCTTGGCTGACAGAAATCTTTGGCACAAAAAACACTGTCTGAGTCAGCCCTGAGAAATAATTAACACTCATGATGTTTCCTGGAGCACTGGAGTAGGCCGAGTGCTGAATAGGCAGAGGGTGAAGCTCTGGTTTCTAAGGGGGATGGAGTAGGTAATACTTGGGTATTCTTCACCTGAAACGGGTGAAGGGTGGGGGACCTCGTCACCTATACCTGCTTTCTGTGCCCCCCAAGATTATAGAGAGGGCCCCCAATGTCTCTAGGGACTCTTCCTAAAAACCTGTTTCCATTTAGAGTCTTTTCATAACGCGTGAGTCAGGCGGTGAACAAATTTAAAGAACGGCTGGATTGCTGAGGGCAGAAACAAGAGTTCAGAGAAGATCCGAGTGAGAACTAAGGCCCAGACCAGAGCGACTTCACCACCTGGAGAAGTGAGGCATGAAAGCAAAGTAAATTAGAGCCTCTGGTGGGCATGTGTTCAGAAGCATCCCCATGAAAGGAGAGATGTTTCCTTGAGTCTCAGCACATGAATTGACATGCTTAGACCAGGAGCTGAAAGACTCACTAAGACCATCATGTTGTCTGTGAATCATATTGGTTCTTTCTAAGAAGACTTCAGAATTTCCTGCCAATGTCTCAATGAGTCTTGGTCAAATTCCCCTTTCCTATTTTCCTCCATTTCTCAGCCAAAATTTCTCATCCTCATTTCACAACCAGCAAAGTTAGGAAAACGGGCCCAGGGATGATACTCAAAGTAGCAGCCAAAGAGGAAAAATTCCCCACAGATACCTCCATCGTAGGCACGGAATGAATTCATTAAGTTTCTAATTGTTAAGTGCACTCTTGAAGGGGCATAGTTCAAAGCAAATTAGAGAAAGTCTCCCTCCAACCTGGAGATTTCTGTTGAAATATTGGTGCCATAGGATAGCAGGTAGCTAGTTCAAGTCTCAACAAACTTTTTCTGTAAAGTACTAGAAAGTAAAAGCAAATACCACAGGAGTTGCGACTAAACATTGTCTCTGTTGAACATTCTTCTCTGGGAAAAGAAAATTACAACAAAATCTTGTGGTAAAAGAAAAATACTTAACAGGGCAGGGATGTAGCTTAGCTGTAGAACATCTTGACATGTGAGGTTCTGGGTTCAATCCCTGACATCAGTAAAAAACACAAACCAAAATTCACCTTTCTTTTTCTTTTGGTGTTGGACCCCACAATGCTCAGGAGTTACTCCTGGCTCTGCACTCAGGAATTACTCCTGACTGTTCTCAGAGGAGATGCCAGGGATCAAACCCAATTTGGTCACGTGTAAGGCAAGCACCCTACCTGCAGTACTATCTCTCCAGCACCCAAATGTACCTTCTCTCAATGAGAATATAGTCTTTTCTTCAACAAATAATTCTGAGAATACTGGATACTCACATGCAAAAGAATGAAGTTAGACCTTTATTACACACCACACCCTCCCCCCCCAAAAAAAAGAAAGAAAAAAAAGAAAAAAAGGAAATCACCCAAACCTTTTTAACTTAAGATGGAGTAAAGACCTAACTGTAAGACCCAAAATTATAAAACTGAAGCAGGCAGGCAGGTTGATAGGGAAGGGCCCCCTATGACAATGAGTTCTTGGGAAGTAATAAAACCAACGGCCGGGCCCTCCTCACCCCTATTGCCCCCCCTCCCCTACCAAGAAAAGCTCCAACAGAAATAAAGACCAGAAAATAAATTTCAGAGAGGACCATCAACTGCTCCCAACTCTACCCACCTGGTGCAATGGACTCTTATCTAGGTAGAATGCCCCACATGGGCAGCTTGGGTGACACCCAACTTAAACAAAGGAGGCGCATATATGCTGCCCAAGTTCATGACCTGCTTGTGCCCATGGTTGCTGCTGAGGGCATGTGGTACCCGAGTACATGTGTCACCTGCATCTCCCCTCTTGAGAAGCCTTTGTTCTCTCTTAAATGTGTTATTCTCTCTCTCTCTCTCTCTCTCTCTCTCTCTCTCTCTCTCTCCCCCCTCCCGCCCTTCTCTTCCTCAAGGCTTCCAAATAAATTTTACTTCACTGCTCATCTCCTCCAAAATTCTTTTCTGTGAGGGAAAGGCAGGGACTGGAAAGGCCTATTTAAGACTAGAACCAACTTTTCTCTCCTGCATCAGGAGCAAGGCTCACAGTCTTAGATTTCTCCAATCATTCCTAGGTAGCAGAAATAAATAGAGAGAAAATGGCAGATTCCCTTCTAAGGCTGTCATCTCTCTCCTCCCCACTTCACTTTACTCAGTTGGGATACCACTCGCATCATTTGGCATCAAAACTATTTGGAGAATATATAGGAGAAAAGCTGCAAAGCTTGTAATCACAACTGAGATTTTAGCCATAACACCTAAAGCACAAGCAACAAATGCCAAAATAGATAAACAAGAAAACTTGAAAACATTTTTCTGCCTTTCTGCCTTCTGTTCTTTCTACTTTTTTTTTCTTTCTTCCTGTTCACACCCAGCTATGTTCAGGGTTCTGACTCTATGCTCAGGTATCTGTGCTCATTTGGTCCCTGGTGGGATTCAGAGTATCATATGAGTGTCAGGAATTTAACCAGTATCAGAAGCAATGCAAGGCAGGTGCTTTAACCCCTGGATTATCTCTCTACCCCCACATGTGTGATATTTTCATTTCTTTGAGAATATTAATTTATACCTTGAATATGATCATTCTAATATACTCATAAAGCCTGGCACTTCTGATGCTATTAAAAATAAACAATAAAATCCATTTCCTGGGCTCCAGGGATTGCTCAATGCACTGAGAAATAGAACTCTTGCATTGTAAATGTGAGATCTTGAGTTCAATGCCTGGTGTTGCCACATGCACCATGAATAATTCTGGCAGCTCTGCCTTCTGCAATTCCTTTGTGCTACAGCAGATTTCTAGCTGCACTAGAGCCAGGTATCTGTGTGTGTAAACACCACAACTTATGGGAGTTCCACGGCCAGTGAACACCGACATGAAAAAGATGTATCAACACCACAGGAAGTGCAACCCCTGGCAAGCAACTCGTATGTGAGAGCACAGCTGAAGAGTACAGTGAATTCTTATGCAAGCACAACTACAGGAGTGCACTTCTCAGTAACAAGCACAGGGGCCAAGCGTGCAAGCCCCCAACCTTCTAGGTGAGCCCCCACAAGCACATGTTTAAGAGTCACCACCAAATCTTGGAGCACTATTGCAAGGCAAGTGGGTAACCCCCCAAGTCAACACCACAGCAACTACCGAAAGGGAAGGAGGGAAATAAGAGTACTAGATAAAACCAGTCACAGACTCCCAGTTCCCAGTTCCTCCCCACTGTCAGCGAGTTCCTTGATTCCCCACGTGCGAATGCCCAAAGCCCCCTGGGAAAGATGGGGCTCAGCCAGGGTCACACAAGGCGGCCACTGCTACACACCATCCAGCTGGCTCCAGACCGGTCCCAAGTGCTCCCAAAGCAGGAGGACAGACCCAGCATGGTCTCAGCCAGACCCCACCCCTTCCTGTTGTTCACTGCCTCTTGGTCAATGCTGCCTGACTAGGAGGTCACAAGGAGACCAGGTGGTAGGCGGGGACCCATTGGTTTTAGGACAAAAACAATGGCAGCTCTAATTTCAAGGCGTTGAGCCTCTCCACCTGCCCATTTATATTTTTCTAAAGAGCTGCAGGAACCAAAGGCGGTGGCAGCAGGCACCAGGGCCAGGAATCTCTGAGCGCCCATCCAATACCCACAGTGAATCTCTATCCGAGTCTCCACCCAGCTCCTGCTGTCTATGTCAGCGGGCAAGCAGGGCTTTCCTCTGTCCAAGCAGGGACAGGAATCTGGAGGTGTCTCTGGGCCTCCTGTATACGAGATACCAAGGACACAAGACCGGCCAGATCCCCACTGGGAACTCAACTAAGAAGAAGAAGAATGAACAACAGGATCCATTTTTTTCCATCAGAGCCAGAAATGTTGTCCACCAACAGTGGAGAGACCTCTTTATGCCTGGTCCAGGACTCCATCTTTGCCATGGCCCTCTCTCTTCCCTCTTCCTCCCACCAAAAATGGTGAAGCCCCTACATTGAAACCCCTCTGAGGTATCATCAACACACCACTTTCAGAGCAGAGTGGGTCCATTTCAAAAGGGCAAGGGGTTTAGAGAGTTAGGGTGGAAAGTATCATTAGGTCTTTGGGGCCAGGGCTGTGACTCAGCAGTAGAACACTCACCTTGGGTGCGGGAAGTCCTTGGTTCGATCCCTGGCACTTGCATGATCCCTGATCTCCACTGAGTGATTTCCTAAGCACCAAAGGAACAGGCTGGTTGTGGCATAGGGAGACAGACAGACAGACAGCCTTTAAGATCTTTAGAGCCTAAGAGTCACATATTTCTCAAAGGGTATGATTGCCAACCCTGGCAGAGTCTGAAGAACAAAAGAGAGAGGACTGTTTGCATAGGGGATGGTGACTGAGGACATCAATGTCACTTCCCTGCTGTACTATCTCCCTGGCCACACAAGCACCATGTAGATGGCATCTGAAGCTCAGCATACAGGTTCCGTCAGATAAAATCCAAGACCCACAGCTAAAGCAGCTGAAAAAAATGAAGATGCGTTTTTGATAACTGCCCCAGATCTGACTCCTTTAGCTGCAGATACAGGCCAAGACCAAAACAAAAATTTACATTATTTTGCATCTTAAACAATTTATGACTCTTCAAAAGGTGCTGATTGGTGAGTAGCAATTAACAGCTAAGAAATCACTTCCAAATTACCAATAATTGCTATCATTTTAAGGGGAGGGGTGTTCTTCACTTTCTTCCCTCTGCTCTCTGTCTTTATTTTTTTATTTCTGTTTTATCCCTGTTGAAGTGCTGGGGATGGAAATGTCTCTGCTTCTTATCTATTTTTTTATTACTATTAAGGCACTGCGATTTATAAACTTATTTTTAATAAATTTTTACTCTGTTTTTTAACTAACAAATATAAATTGACTATAGACAAGGTGTAGGCTAGGAGCCATGGGGTGTAAAATATACCCCAGTCAAGTACTTGTTCGAGATACTCATAATTTGGCTAGGGTACATGGTACATCTCAACGGGAAGTAGAAGTTCGGGGAAAATGTCAAAGTGTGATATGCCTTGAATTGCCAGCTCTTAAAAGCTAGTTAGGCTGGATGCTCAGGAAGTTCGATTGTAATTTTCTTGAGGGTTGTAATCTACCCTTATCCAATGAGATGCTTTCCTCTACATGAATGGCTCCCACACTTGGACGTCTATGAAGTGTTGGCACAAGTACTATGGAAAAAAGTGCTTTGTGGCCAAAAACAAGTGGGAAACATGCAAATTTCATCAGATTTAAATTGCAATATAAATGACATGTACATTTCAGATGTAAGATGTGTGCTGCTCTCTTTATAGAGGAGCC